TTCACTTTCCGCTTCATCAGTAACACTTTCTGTAACGCTTCAAAAATCAATGCAACGAACAACAACTGAAGCAAAATCATGCATCTGGACAAATTTTCTTTTTACAAGCTGTAAATATTTGGGCTGAAGTGCACAGTATAAAAATTATATAAGGGTTAAACAACACGTCTCCTATTCTAGTTTGTTTAAACGACAAATGAGGAAGTGACAGGTTATTAGTGTGTCAACAAATGGTATGTACGACGATTTTCACCCCTGTTACAGCTGGCAATATTCAAATCTTTTAAATAACGCAGTTTAATTTCACCCTCAAATCAGAATTCTACGTCTTCCAAGCTTTTAGTACAAAAGCTTTATTTTTATGCAGGCTGGTCAGTGTGTGAGTCCAGAAAAACATCCACGTTCCCACTCACACCCAAGTTAGGATTTGGCAGCTCCTTTTGACACGGCCAAGCCGATGAGGCCCGCTAAGCCGGCCACGCCAAGGCCGATTCCCCCGACAATCGCCATGCCGACAAGGCCATCTAGATATCAAGAGGTAAAAGGTCAGGATGTAGTTTTCAAAACACAAGCGCTTTTATTATGAAACCATTTAGTGCCTCTTTCTTACCTTTCTTTAAAGCCTTGTCGATGAGCTTCTCCATCTCCAGAGCCTGCTTGTTCCCCGGCTCGTTCTTTAGGAGAATGCGGATATACTTGAGAGCTTTTTCATATTCCTGGAGGGAGAAGAGAAAGTCTAGTTTATGGAAGTCCTTCCAAAAGCAGCTCTCATCACTCGACAGCCACCCCTGTAACACCTCCAAGCGGCTATCTAAATTAATGGGGAGATAGAGCCATGGCAGTAATTGCTGTGGTCAGTGGGACTTTGCTCCATAATAAAGGGTCTAAAAAGGTTTTTTTTTTCTCCGCCTGCTATCCACATCCAGGTTACACAACGCTCCTCCATTGAATGTGCCGCTATGTGCATATAAGTATTGTACAGCACTTTGGTCTACCAGGTGTGTTTTTAAAGTGCTATATAAATAAATAAATGATGATGATGATGATGATGATGGACGTCATCCCTCCAGATCACTCGAAACAAATGCTGATTCATGTAACGGATATGGCAAACCAAGGATACCAATAAGTGTGCTTATCTGCGTCTTTTTATGTCCACCACACAGTTCAAACGGTCATGAAGCTCTCACTGCATGCCTGTGATTGGTTCGTTTGTTTACCGCTTCAGCTGCTGATTGGCTCGTTGGGAATGCGGGCAGGGTAACCGCCAGCTTCAGTGGCAAAACTTTTCCACAGATTCATTAAATGGCATGTCTCTCTGGCATCATTAAAAAGGACATTTTTATTCACGCAGGAAAGCATGAAAGAAATCCATCATGTGTTGAAGATCGTCAGGTAAAAGGCGTTCATGTACACTCATTGTGCAAAAGGTAACACGGAAGAGACCGAGTTCATTGTGACCTGCAGACTTTGAAGGTCTGATTAGTTATCTTCCAAGTACGGTGAGTGGGAGGTCAGAGAGGAGCACATTATGGTACTGAAATACAAGTGAGGACATTTCTTTTACAGAGAACTGGGTGTGTTAAGGAAACATTTTCCTATTAGTGTATGTAACCATGCCTCAGCAGTACTTTAGGATTAGACCAATTAGAAAAACCCTCGGTAAATGCGAACCAATGAGTAAGATGACATGCTTTTAGGGAGGAGCAGGAAGTAAGAGGTAAAGTCAGAGAGAGAAATATTTTGCGCTGTCTGTCAGATTTGACCTTTGCCCTCTCTCTTATCTGAAGCTCAAAAGCAGCGTGATACAAAAGCAGAGATTTCTGCAGGTCTGTTTCTTCATTTTGTCTCCCATAAACCTGAACTGAGAAGAAACAGGTGCCACTCACTTTGAGTCTGTAGTTGGCCACTGCAAGGTAGAACAAAAAGTCCCGGGAGTCGTCCTTTGATGCTTTCTGAACCAGTTCTACGAGAAAAACAAACAAACAAACAAACAAACAAACAAACAAACAAACACGATTCAAACCAGGAAAGCTGAAAACACACTGAAGCCACAAAGTCACAAGTTACAAGAATAATCACTGTGCAGGTAATGGAGCTGGCTGTGCTGAGCTTTTCCAGTGACGCAGCGCCAGTGCCTAATCCAAAACCAGTTCCACCCATTTATACAGAAAGAAAAAGACCACAAAATTGCTGGTTCCAAAGTTGGAGACGCTGACCTCAGCGACCGCAGGAGGAGCTGCCGCAATGACTCACTGATGACACTCATCATTATCATTATTATTATTTTTTTATAAGAAAGGAGAGGAAAAAAACAACAACAACAACCAAAAAAAGAAAAAGAAAAATCAAACAAAAAGACAGTAGGAAACCACAGCAACAACCAACATGAGCATCAGTAACAGTAAATAAAAATATTGAATGTTACTGAGCAGCATACAGTGCTAATAATGCATAAAATGTTAAGAGGCAACAGCCGAGAGTGAGCCAGTACACACCCGAGCACTGAGAACCATCAGTGCACCAGCAGGCGGGGGCACCAGCAGGCGGGGGCACCAGCAGGCTGGGGCACCAGCCACTGGCAGGGAGTGTGGGGGGGAGATGTTCTGAGAGAGGTGGAGTCTAAGACCCGACACAAACATGCATTCCCACCCTCAAAGACACATATGAAAATACTCACACACTCACCCAACATGGAGACACACAGACCTGTACGCACACACACTCACCCAGCTCCGGGCTCCAGGACCCCGCAGGGGCAATCCAGCAGCAACTTAGACTCTGATGGTCACCGCAGCTTAGACTGTACAATCCTTTTATTTGCATTGCTTGTCATTTCAATACCTTATCGTTAACAGCTGAAACAACACTTAAATCAATAGACTCATTACTTACAAAAAAAAGAAAAAACCTCCACAAAAATTCTTGATTAAAAGTTATTCCCATTTGAAGATTGGAATATTTTTGCTGTGTTGATGACAAATCCCTGAGTTTTAATAATGTTAAAAATTGACTGTTTTATGTATAAGATTTTACATGGACATGCCAACCTCCTTTATTTATTAGTGCAAGCACAGACTGTGGGTTTAGCACTAGGGCCACCACTAGAGGGGACTGTGAAGTAATTTATAGGTTCACTAAATTTGGACAAAATGTGCTGTTACTACTCAAAATACTAACCAATTAAGAGTCTATCAATGGGAATAACAGAGCGCTCAACTTATCACACATTTAAGGCTCAGCTTAAACAACGGCTGAAACTAAACCAGCTCTGTTCCCACTTTTAACTTATCAAGTCTTTGTTTACTGTAAAGTTTTGAAGTGACCTGCCTGGGCTCACAGTTTCCATCTCACACTTTTTGTATACCGATGTCCATTAACAATGTAGTTAAATAACTACTTAAAAACAAAAACAACGACAAAAACCAAACAAAAGATTAAACTATTAGTTTGAAACAGTCCATAGCGTACCAACTTTATTCATAAAGCACTTTAAAAACAGTCGTAGAAGACACCGAGTGCTGTACATAAAAATGAAATTAAAATGAAGTGAAGACAGTACCACTAAAAAAAGCAATATACATGCTCATGTTGAACTGTGGGCTGGTTCTCAAAAAAGTCCAAACTGAATAAGTACAGCACCAGCACTGCGTCAGCGGAAAAGAGTCATCAGGAAACCTATAACAAGTCTACAATCCAAGGACATTTCTATAATTTTAGTTACTACAGTTACATTATTTTGTGGTGCAAGGGAAAGCTCTGGTTAATTTTACAAGTTGATAACCAGCTTCCTGTAACCGTTTATCCTGCTTCCCAAAGTTAGGATAAGTGAATCCTGATAGCTGAAAGAAATCCTAGCTATGTTGAACTCGCTTTGTAGTACAGGGCCCAGGTTATGTGTTCAGCATCAGTTGTGATGGTGATTTAACGAGGTAAAAAGGAAGCTACTTTGATGACTCAAGCTATCTGGATTTTCAGTACACCGCAAGGGGCACTTGCAACAATCCTGTTAGCCAACAGAAAAGTAATAACATTATAAGTACATAAGGCACAGTGGGTGGACTTACCCTCCAAAAGTACAATCCCCTTCTTGATATCCTGTGAGTATTTACTCCTGATCAAACACCAAGCATACTCAAACTTTGTTTCTTTGGAGACAGCACCCTTCGCCAGCTCGCTGTTATATTTCTTCTCAAATTTCTGGAATTATAAAAATAGGCAAAAATGACCGGTTTCATAGTCGAAGGAGCTTGCAAAGAAAAGCGTCTGGACTTCTTTAAGTTGCTTGAAGACGTTTCACCTCTCATCCGAGAAGCTTCTTCAGTTCTAAGGTCAAATGGTGGGGAGTCCCAGATTTATACCTAAAATTTATACCTGGTTTCATATTTTATTATTATTTATTCATTTACAGAAAAAGTCACTTCGATTGTGTTTATATTAGCAGATGCCCTGACCCTTCCTCAGTATTGTTTGTTGTGTATCCACGAGGAACAATTACAATGTTCAGCTATTGAGCAGGTTAGTTCACAAAGTAAAGTCTAACATCACTGCCAAACTACATTAGCCATAAACTGTTTTATTAGTCGAAACTACGATAACACAGTGTCCGGATGTTCACTCATAAACATGATGATTAGCACGAGCTAGCTACGTGACGCGACTAAGTGCGTGTCGACATGTCACATTTCTCCCGAGTACCAACGTTTATCGACTGACAGACGCCGTGGGGCGACAGGAAAAGTCGCTCATATGCTAAATGTGTGTTTTAATCCCAAGGAAGAAGTTTAATAACGTGAAAACTTACTAGAAGGTCTTCAGGAGCCACCACATCACTCAGTACAGCCTCCATGTTTCCGGAAACGAATTTAAGACACGCCCAGCGTGGTCACATGACAGACACATAAACGTCATCGTGAGATCTCTCTGGTAACGCCTCGCTTGCGTAACAAAAAAACATCAGACGTTTAAACAATAAGCTTTATTGTTTATGGGTAGCTTGGCATCACATTTATATTTATTTATCGTAAAATAACTTCAAATATGATAGAAGTCTACAGGCTGTTTTATTTTTATTTATTTAATTATTTAATTTTGCTATGTCACTGTAAGATCAGCCGAAGAAGGATCTCACTGAGGTTTCATCAGTTCTTAGCTAGATGTGATGGGGAAAAGGCTAAAGGCAACAGTTCACTGAGGCTGGTTTCTTTGTAAGAGCCGTCTGGCTTGGTCAAGTATACAGTCCAGTCTGATCCAAACTGTGAAACACACAGAGAGAAAGCAAAAAAGATATAAAAATATCAGCAAGCAAGGTTTAAAATGGGTCATTTCCAAAATTATAATTTATTCCTAACATAAGGTATTTCAAAGCCCAGGCAAGACTCAACTGGAATAAAATATCATTGGACTGGATTAAATGGCGAGTCTAACAATAATGGGTCATCTTTAACAAAATAAAGTTCATGCATTATATTTCTAAAAGCTACATGTATGTAAAGCATGAGGTTTAGAGTGGTTTGTGTTTTTAATTTTGATTAAAATGGTCTATTGGATTACAGAAAACATCCCTTCTAATCACACTGTAAACATCAGCAGGAAGATCACAAGTCAGCAACAACAAAGTATAACCCAACATTGAGAATCACAAGTGGTGGGAAAGGGGCGAGACATGCTCAGTGATGTATCATTGGTGAATGCGCCTTACTAACATCGGGCTGGAGCTACAGGGTGCCACGTTTATGAATGTCGCGTGTCCAGAGGTCTTTTATACCTTGCAGTATAACTCTGCTGAACAAATCCAGGTGACACATGATATGATGTGGTATGATATGGGTGTCACTCGCACATATTCGTACATATTTGATCTTCATCAATTTTACTGCAGCACTTTCTTGTTGTTACTGTCTTTGATGTCTGTAAGTGTGACGCCTCCAGTTCCCCAAAGGTACAATTTTAATTTCTGAAAGGACACATAATAAATCTAATCTAATCTTAAATGTTTATGACAATATTTTAGGAGGAGAAAATATGCTTTTTTTTGCTGATACAAAGTGCCCTTCACTGTAGCAAAGCTATAACACTTTACTGTTCTAGTTTAACAAGCCTGTAAAATGCAGCTTCTCCTGCTGGAAGACACACAGCTACTTATCACTGTAGATGTGTTTTACAGGGAAGGATGAATATGGGTTCCTGGATTCCTGGGTTACTTTCCTAGATGGGAAAAAATCCTTAGAGACACCTCCTCACCTCCATGAGGACCTGTCGGCACGCTCCGCATGGTCCAACAAAGCGGTCTTTGATGTCACTGCATAGAGGAGAGGACAGGATGAGCGCTCGGGAATATGTTGCAACGTGCTTTGTTGAGACTGAGTGTCTTACCATGTCACGGCGATGGCGCTGAACTGTGTGTGGCCCTCCACCACAGCTCTCTGGATGGCAGTCCGCTCGGCACACACCGTCAGTCCATAAGATGCATTCTCCACATTGCAGCCTGGAACCCTAACAATACTTAGACCCTGGGCTCTTTTACAGTGCTCTACTGGGAGGCATCGTAAAATCACATTTGATATCTCCGGCTTTTGAAAAGCAATCATACTTTGTGAGGTGTACATTTGGGTCTGACTGTTTTACTGCCTTCTCTTGGTAAGTCAAAATCTGTGATTCGTAAATTGTTTTATAAATAAAGTCTGCCGAAACTATTAAAATATATAAAAAGAATTACGAGAGGAAATTGCCTCTGTCAGTTTTATTTACTTTCTATAGAGATCACATTATTGTATTATAACTTCTGCATGCCGTTTTTACTACTGAACCAAGTTACAGACAATAGAGTAGAATAGAATAGAATAGCAATATCCTTTATTGTCTCTCATTGGGGAAATTCACAGCCAAGTTAAGCTCAGTGCCAGATGAGATCAAAGCGGATTGGATAAATTAAAGTTTGTAGGTTTATTCCACGAAATGAAAGTTTCACTGCAGCAGCACATGAGCACATCTGCATTATGAGGAGCTACAAAATCCTGCGCAACAAACAAACGATAACATTTACTGCAGTGCAATATACACGAGCATGTATATTAATTGTGAGTATGAGGTTATAGATAAACACAAATTCACATATTAGAAGAACAGTCAAATAAAAGTGAAAATTGAATAATGTTATATAGTGAGTAGTATCGGTGGAAGAGTACTTGGGTTCATTTACTGTCGTTAAGAACATAGACCATTGAGTGCACACTAGAAATAAAATTCAGTGCACTGACTTGCAATCGAATCAGCCTAAGTAAACAAATCTAAATATCAAAACCTAAAATGTATACATGTGAGCATATAAGAAAAATGCTTATATACATGTGATAATTAAGAAAAGCACAGGATCTTAGAAATGAATAAATATTGTATCTGGTTTTTGTTGCTTGATTATAAAAACCAGTGCATTAGTACACGAGAAGCATACGAGTACTATAACTGCTGTTGCTGTTGTGCTGTGGTTTTATCACAACATTTAATCTGCAGATAAACTAATAAGCACATAAAAAGCATACTGGCCCCTGAAATGAAGCCACCGTTAATTGCACTTAAGGACAGTAGCCTGCTTGCTTAATTGCACTTTCAGCCATTACTTAATATTACGGTATCTATGACAACCACACTTTATGAGCTTGCAAAACACACTCCTGTCTGTTATTACCTGTGATTATGGCGCCATCTGCTGTCAGCACGGCCGCACCGACAGGGAAGCGGCTGTATGGACAGTAAGCCTTGTCCCGAGCCTGCAGGCACTTTGAAACGAGCTCCTTTACTTGATCTGCGCATGACAGGCAACAAACCTGTGTGAGCTGTGATTAAACAAATGACCCCCGAGGCTGCTGAGACTCCGTGAGGGGTGCACTTGCCTGTCATTGTAGCTGAAGACGCTTCTGGATTATGTCACCTTATCCAACTACGCTGTTCCGTGACAAAGAAATAAACTATGGTAATGCAAGTGGCTTTTAATTCAGGTCTGCCGACGGCTGCCGGGGGGTCGCGAAACTACGAGGTTTTGTGACAGCTGTTTACCGTTCACGTTATTGGCTGGCAGGGGTGCAGCGTCATCGACCAGACTGGGACCGTTATATCAGGACTGCAGAGGACCTGGCTTTTGGCAACTTTCTCGCGAGAAAAGTGGGATGAGAATCATTTAAATTTTTAATCAGACAAAGTAAAACACTCGGAGGTTCTACATCACCAGAAAGTGTGAATAAAGCTGCTGTGGTGTAAGGCAGAGCGGGGCATGTTTACTGGTTTTAATGCTCGGACATATTTAAGGCATCCAAACTGAACAGATGGAAGAAGAGGCAAAGATTTGTTGTTTCCTCTATTGTTCATCTGTGTTTCCTACATACTTAGAAATAAAGTCATCAAGAAATTTCCTAAATTCCATGAGTGGGTTAAACCATCACAATGATTTGAACAAGCATCTCTATATTCAAAGCTCTCCGTGCCAGAGGCTATCATTGTAGTGCAGAGCTGTTCAGTGAACCACACCGCTGCACTGGCTCACACGTTTGTTCATTAAAAAGAACACAGTCACTTGCTAAAAGTACAAATTCTGCTTCCGTGGGTCTCTTATACACGTTGCTCCTGTGCGAATTACATTTGCTATGCAGTCCAGTGTTTTCTAAAGAGATGTGGTGGCGGTTTAATGCACAGTCATAGTTGCTGGCAGGTACTCAACGCTTCACATTATTATAATTTGTTTTATTATTATTTTTTAATTCCAAAACAAGTTCTTCTGCTCTAGACTAATATCTAAATATTAAAGCTTCCAGTTTGGATTTAGAAGACAGACACTCTTTCTACTTTCTTTTTTGATACAGCTTATAGTTACTGCTGGATTAGGTGACCCTGAATGCTGCTGGAGGTTTCTTTCTGTTAAAAGGGATTTTTAACAGGAATATAAATAAAACTGCACTGAAATTGAATAGATTGCTTTTAGTGAAAAATTATTTGCTCATTTTGAATGAGACACGTTTGTGGCATGAACTCACAAATATTTATGCCCACGTTAAGCAACTTGATTACATGAAAAAAAAATGTCCCTGTAAATTTTGTTATTTAAGTACAATGGAAAGATTTAAATGGAAATTTACGTCATTGGTACACAGTGAATTTACAACGAGCACTTTTCATTAATGATTAATTATTGCAAAAATAAATCAAGCTTTGATTTGTATTTGTCAGCTGCATTTTATTCAGAATTATTGCTCATGTTTATGAGGGCAAATAGTCTTTTTATAGTGACATGTTTATCAGTGTGGTGGATCGTCGTCATGCAGCACAGTGCGTAGAGGTGATTCAGTGCTTTCTTGAGAGACAGAGAATTGTAAATGTGTCAGCAGTTCCTGGGCTCCTCTGTCATACATGCTGCATTTTGAAATTCACAAAATATTTTCGGTGGGTGGCAGGTCTGAGATGGATTCAGGCCTTTTTGGCATCATCCTTCCCCGAGAACCCCCTAGGTACCATCACAGGTGATGGAGTTTGACCTGATACTTTCATAGTTGAGAGTCCACGCAGTCATTTCTAGTAAACATTTTTGTCTTCTCTCTTTTTTTATATGCTGTCCAAACTCTGAGCCCAAGGGATCTGGACATTTAGTACTGTTTCTGAGCGACTGAATGAGTGATTGATTCATCAGGTGCATGTATGCAGTAATGACCTCAGATCTTCAGCAGGTATCAAAGGGCATTTAAGACAATGATGAAGCTCTCTAAACAAACACAATTACACTCACAATTACACACACATACACAGCCCCCCCCCCCCCCCCCCCCCCCACCTTTCCATGTAGTCTATCAGTGGTTCACTTTTTTTTCTGGTTAACTTTACATTACAAATATAAGTCTCTACCTCAAGACTTTTCATCTTTATCTAAGACGTGTGAGGAGACGCCCAGCTCTGACATCAGAGATCGGGAGCACCCACGCCAACATCTGGCCTTTGTTCCCTCTCTGTTCCCCGCTGTAACGGTCACTGCTTGTATTTGAGTTTCGTGGCGTGAGCCGCCACAGGTGATCTCCTCTCTCTCGCTCTCTTTCGCTCTCTCTTTCTCTCTCGTTCAACTCCTCTTTTTGGTTTCCTGCACTTTTCACCGACTTCCTCTTGAGAGGGGAGTCAGATCCACAGAGCAGCCAAGTGAAAGAAAAAAGAAGCTTAAGCCATGTGTTGTACAGGAAAGTGCGCCCGCCTGGTGGGCCTGATCCTGCTGCCTTCAGCCTTCATCTGCATCATCTCCAACCTGCTGCTCTTCTTCCCCGACGGGAAGCAACTGAAGACCAGCGAGATCTCCACCGAGGTCTGGCTCATGGGGGGGCTCCTCGGAGGAGGCCTGATTGTGAGTAAACCAGTTCCACGCAGAGAGTCTGGTGAAATGTTTTATTGCTCATTTTTATTGGGTTTTTCAGCCATTACGTTTCGTAGTGTAAACTAGTAAAGTTAAACTGCTTACGTTTATTGAGTTTTATTGAGAATTACTACTGCATGATCCTTTTTAGATTAGCATAGAGTTTTGTTAGAGCATTTTTATTAATAGTACACGCCTCTTTGTCTCTATCAGCCTATTAGTGGTTTGGGGTTCAGCGTGATGTTATTATTTGACTTGTCATATGTAAAACCTGTAAAAGCAGCACCTTTAACAATGGTTAAGGATTATTTTATAAAGGGGTTATGACTCACTGAGTAAACATTTTTAATTCTAGCTCAGCTTATGTGTACATAGAACATGCTTTAGATACCAAAACATTGACGAAGAATGTAAATGTAAGTCATTCTGAAAATAAATAATGAATGTAACCAAATCACACCACTCATATAAAAGATCTTTAATAATAAAATAAATAAATTCACTTAAATTACTAAAGTATTTATGTTGCTATAATAGAGATAGAAATGTTGTAGCGTTTACATTAATTTGCCAGCTTTCATTACTTTAGTTTCCTTAATGCTATTAAAGAAGCTAAAGTAGTTAAATTGTATTACACTTCCCTTATTAAAGGGGACTATCTTGACATTGTGTGAGCTATCACTATCAATAAATAATTCATAAATATTTAATCTTTTGTGCTTCAGTATAACATTTCAGTTCAGACCAGGAAGTCTGATCCCTTTCGTCTAACTTTGGGATGTCGCTGCCTGCTGGGTAAACCTTGATGCAGGATTTACAAATATTTGGTTTGATAGATAAGCGAACATACACACACACACAATTGTGCACATGCGCACACACAAATAAGTATGTAACCTGTGGGTGGACCCAAAGAAATAGAAAAAAAAAAGTTTTTTGAGAGAATTCATCAACAACAAAAACTGTTTTTTGATAGCAGATGTAATGTTTCGTCTCTGCACCTGTCAGATGCTGTGTCCGAGCTGTTCAGCTATCAGGGCCGGGGGCAAGGGTTGCTGTGGACAAGGTTGCTGTGGCAACCGCTGCCGGGTGAGTGAAATCATTTGAAAGATTTATTGCATTTCCATGTTACACAATACTGTGGTGTGTGGGGGACTGCACTGATAATGATGTGTAATAAAAGGCATATAAAAGTCCAAAGGACAAACTTTAGTGCATGATCATTAATGTGCCCACATGCTCTGTTTGAGGTGCGCCCGACAAAGACAATCATTAGTACTTCAAACAATAAGTATTTAAAGTTTTGCTGAAGATGTTTTGCAGAAGTACAGCTCTTTATCTGAATTCCAGATCCTCACTTCTCTTTGATTATTAGGAACTACGTCGCTAATTACAGAAGTGAGGAGCCATTAAGTCTGAATAACCAGACAGCAATTTTTAAAAATATGCACTGCTTCGACTTTTAGCATCTTAGGTCATTGACACTTAGAAAGAAAAAGGGAAATAAAAAAAATTATGTTTGCATTGAAAGGCTGCTAACGTTGAAGGCAGTACGATCCTCTGGGTTAATTATATGCACTGAGACCATAAATGGCTAACTTTGAGTAAGCGTAGGCAGAAAGCCACTGTGTGTATGAGCTGTCCATGTGATCGCTGTCCAGTAACACATCACAGACGTGCATTTTGCCATTCCTTTTTATTTTGGGTAGATAACCTTGCAGTGATATCAACAACAGTACATAAAGGGGTTAGTAAATTCATCAGATCACCTGTCATAAAAACAAGAAAACACAAATATTGATTTTTAATGCAAAAAACTTGATTAAAGCTACAAATGATATTTTTATTTATCGGGGAAATACGCATTAGATTTTTATATTAGCAAGTAATCAAAACTGGCTGTTTAAAATTCCTGGATAACAAAATTAGTTATATTTTAGCATTAAAAATGTTGTTTTCATTAAAGAGCTTCTTCATACTGGTGGATTAACCGTTACAGGCACTATAACAGAAACTTTTTTTAATGTTATTACCAACACTGTTAATTTAGGGCAACTGCAGCCTAAACCTTACACTGGTTGGCAGTTTAATACATTTTTAAGCACTGTTTATATTTTACATATTGGATAAAAGCCATAAAACATGATATCAGTTAATTAGTAACCTAATAATGATTCTACAGGGGATAAAATAAACTTTTGTGTTTAGCTTTACTCTATGTCGACCTGCTTATTTATTATTAAAAGAAAGCTCCATGATGCTTGAGTTGATAATGTTTTAGTTTTAGGGCCTGATTATTTATATTTTTGCATGTTTTCAGAAAAAAAAGTTAAAAAAACAAAAAACGAAATCACTTTTCTCTTTGAAATAGAAGTTAAGCAACACAAGTTCTCTCTTTTCCAAGCCCTGTTCATGGACTTTTATAAAAACCCCAATATGGAAACCAAAACCCTTAACAGTAAATATTTAGGTTATATATACATATGTATGTATATTGTATACTTCATATAACTTCTGTCTCCTACAGTGATTCATGGCTCCTTCCATTTGTTTTCCACATTAAGTTTGAGTAAAATTAACATGAACTTGTCCCAGAAAAATGAAAAAAAGAAAGAAAGAAATGATGAATGACAGCAAAGAGATCACCTAAAAAAATCTCTCTAAA